CTTGGGGTGGGGGTCTCGCTGCCTCCCTGCTTGCTCGCAGGTCTGATCCTCGATGCCAGCTCCAGGCACCTCCACCCTCCCAGAAGTCGTGTCCAAAGCTCCCCCAGCCTGGTGCCTGGTGTCCGCGGAGCACCTCGGCCGAAGCAGTCGGTCTCAGATGCGCCTCAGTTTCCCTTCAGCCCTGTGATGTGAGGGCTGGCGGGCGGCTGACACCCACAGCGAGGCCCTTGGGTGATGTGGCCACCAAAAAGCCCTACTTACCATGCAACAAACCAACACTGTCCGAGTGTTGCACCATGGCTGCCTGCACCATGGCCGTCACTGTGCTCCCTGGCACAGTTTTGGCCCAGCCCAAGTGACGCCCCACAGACAAGCCCTGGGCACGATCCAGGATGGACAAGGCCACCTCGCTTTGTGGGGCCACAGAGGTCTGCAGAGGGGTCAAGCAGGAGGCAGGCATGGCTTCAAATCCAGTGCAGACATCTGCAGGGCGGCGCTTCCCTGTCTCCCCTCCCGCTGGACCGGAGTTTGAACTCTCCGAGCATCACGGCCGTTCAAACTCCGGTCCAGCGGGACCACCCCGCATCTTCGGGACCGAGCCGTGACTCACTCCCTTCCCATCCCTGCAGCTGGCTGGATGCCCAAGCATGCCCTCACCCTTACCGTGACATTCTCCCAAGCACCAGCAATTTGCAGCGTGGAGAATTACGGCATCAGACATTCGGAGTTGTGGTTTATAAGCTTTTTTTATTGGTTGTGTTTTTATTTTTCCCCCCATCGTTCTGCTCACTCTCCGAATGCCCACGGGCTGCCGGCCTCTCCCAAGCCCCATGGCAGGTAGTCCCATGGTCAGCGGGGCAACACTTGGGTGCTCAGCGTCTCCGAGCAGGCCAGATGTGTACCCATATTGCTCCTCACCCCTTGCTGTTGCGCGCCAGGTCGTCGCATGTCCCAAGCTCTCCACACTGCTGTGGGGCTGCAGAACCATGGGTCAGCCCTTGATGGTATTGACCCATGGCTGGGACTTGGGCTGCAGAGCTCAGGTGGCAGACACAGAGAATGCGAAGTTGCTTTGAGGAGCATGGAAGTAGGTTAAAACGCCACAAGGATGCGGCCAAGATGGAGAGGACGCTTGTTTTCTGGCTTGGCTGCTATCCACCGCACTATGCTGAGCTCTTCCCAAGACGCTTTCATTCATCAAGCAAGATGAAGAAACCCAAGTGTCCTAGTTACAGTGGCAGTGTTTCAGAAGCATCGGAGGCAATGTGTTGTGCTAGAAATGGGCCAAGGGATGAAGCACATGTGATGGGATGGATAACACATCCCTCCTCCTGCTCCTGAGCACCAGCCCCTAACCTACACTCTCAGGAGGTCGTCGTAGCATGAAGCTGCATGGCTGTGGGTTACACCATCCACCCACCTCCCCATTCACACCTCCCCAGCAGACATGATGCGTGGGGTTTGTGTCACTGGTTGTGCCTCAGTTTCCCATGGGCTGAGCACAGGGGATAGCAACAGTGTGCTGTGGTGGCTTTTCAGTCCCCTCAGACGAGACTCCAAGAGAGGACGGTGGAGGATGGAGTGACGGATGGATGGATGGATGGATGGATGGATGGATGGATGGAGGCGTGGGTGGATGGATGGATGGATGGATGGATGGATGGAGGCGTGGGTGTATGGATGGATGGATGGATGGGTGGAAGGATGGATGGATGGATGGATGGATGGATGGATGGATGGATGGATGGATGGAAGAGCAAGCTCTGGGGCTGTCAACCTCTCCTTCTCACCCCAGGCACCCTAAGTCTCAGCCTGCTCCCAAACCTGTGACAAATAGAAGCTGGGCTGGGGGCCAGGTTCACAGCTGGTGCTGACCATTGCAGCTCTGGGGACACGGCTCCCACTGGTGTAAATGAGGGCAGCCTCGCAGCTGGAGGAATCACAGGCTCACCACTGCCACCAGTGAGGGACTGCTGATTTACACCATTAATCTCCAACTGGTGTCTGAGGGAGGAGCCCTCCTCACCAGGCTGGTCAGGACCATTGCCTATTTAAGGAGGAGAAGGCCAAGCCTCTGGTTTGGGCTCTCCTGGCTTCTCCAGCTTCTAGTTCCAAGCCAGCTTCCCCCAAGTTCAGGTGAGTGCATCAAGCCACCACCCTGGGAGCCTCCTGGCTGGCGGGAGACGGTGTGGCTTTCTCCACCTAGACAGGGATTCCCTCAGCTTTGCCCCCCCCCACTTCTCCAAATATTTGAGTCCTGACCACCCTGCCCTTGCTCTTGATGGTCCTTGGGATCCAAATCTGTTCAGATGTTAGCAGGCTGATGTTTTTATTAGAAATACAATCCAGATAACCTTTCTCAAGGCATGTACTCCCCTGCCTTGGATTTCCACCCACCCTGGACAGCCAACTTGTGTGAGCTTGCAGGGTGTAATCAAATGCAGAGGAACTGGCCCTTTGGCTCTAATTAGTTTTGCTTGATTGTTGGGGGAAGAAATCCATTTTCATAAACACAAAGGATTTATGCTGCTCCTTCTTGCCTTTTTTTTTTCTCCTTCCCGAGTTCCAGAGCACTTTGCTTGGGGCTAGCAGAGAGTGGTTTTATGAATGGTTTAGATTGAGCAATGCATTATTAATAACAGCCAATCAAGCAAGCAGCATATTATATATCATTTCAGGAGTTTCGCTTAATTTAGTGAAGTTATTTATCGCTCTAAAAAAAAAAAACCTGCCAGAGAGACTCCCATTCTTCCTCACACCTCTGGGTTGGAGGGGGTTTGTTGCGGGGTGGCTGGGAGCGAGGTCCAAGCAGGGCTGTACCGGCCTGCAAGCGTACCGAGGCTGCTGGGACCTTTGGGGAGCCCTCGCCCCTCAGGGGTACCCCAGCTGCAGCCCTTTCCTGCAGTGCTGGGGCTCGTTGGATGCTGCTCTGTTCCCCCTGCGGTGACAAACCCTTTTCTAGCCGGATGAGTGAGCTTTACAGCAGCTCAGGGCAAAGAAACGGCTAATCCGGCTCCTGCAGCCCGTTGACTTCGCCATTGTTTTACAAGACTTTGATGAGGTCGGTGACAGCAGACAGATGGGGTCTGCTCTCCTCCGGCTCTGCCCCTTGTAGAGCCCTCTCCCCGCGCACAACGCCGTATCGCACACCAGAGAATCCCCAGGGTGAGGTGGCATCGTCTGAAACTGGTGACGAGCCCTGTGTGCCCCGTGGGGCTCCTTTGGGATCGTTGCCGATGAACTGGTGTGCGGTGCCGGATCTGTCCTGGCCGCAGCAGGACCTTGGTACCCAGGGAAGGCAGGAGGGGCTGGGGGGGGAGGCTGATAGCTCAAAGCTGTGTCTGGCCCGCTGCTCG